ATAACAAGTAAATGTTTCCGTTTCGTATAGTCTCATAAGTCTATAAATGTATTGTTTGATGATAAAATGTCCTAAGTTATACTATCAATATGTTTGTATCACAGTATCAGACATATGCAATCGACATAATTATTCGCGACGTTCATGATAGGGACTATAACACTTCCAAAGCTAATAAACCTATATCCTACTGTATAACTTAAAGAATACATTTATACATCAAACAATACATTTATACTCTATAGGCTTATTAGACTATACGAAACGGAAACATAATCAAACATTTACTTGTTATACCAGGTTATACTATAGATATCAGCAAGATAAGAAATTATTTCATTACTGGAGATTTGTTGCGTTAAATTTTCCTGTATTTATCTAGTGCATAAATGGAAAAAGTACGAAAAAAATATTAAAACTAAAAATAATATCTTCGTGAAAAAATGCGTTTTTAGCACATTTTATGACCCACGACATTACCCACGACTTTACCCACGACACACGACTTTTAACCCACGACACACGAAATATAGGGACAGTCCATGTGTTCACATTGCTTGTTCCCAGTTGTTGACAAGCCTGGAATAAGTTTTATATCATCTTGTTATAAAGTTGATGAGGCCAACAGACTCGCGCAACAAGTTGTTCTAATTAGTCTGACATCACCTGCACGTAACAAATTGTTACCAACAAGCTCGTGGCAACATGTTACGAGCAGTCTGTATAAGTCTTGTTGGAACAACTTGTAGCGAGTCTTTTACCATCACCAAGCTTGTAACAAGGTGATAACAACTTGTTCCAGACTTATCACAACAACTGTGACCAAACACATCCTGATATCAGCTTGACAACAACCTTGTCACAACTTTTTTGCAGATCTTTAACAACTTGCAAGAGACGCGCTTGGGATGGGAACCCAATGTTAGGATATTTTCTGTACTGTAACCATGCTATTATTTGTGTTTTACAGGCTATGTCCTGAGTTCTATCGAAGGACGCGTCGCAGTGGAGTATTTCGACCCAAGTCCTGAAGTCCAGAAAACTAAATATGCATTTAAATGTCATCGAATCAAAGAATCTGGCATGGAACTCATATATCCTGTGAATGCAATCTCATTTCATAATGTGTATGTTTGTTTCGATGTAGTTATTGCTGTATCGCTGGAAAGTCTTATTATCTCGTATAGACGAGCGGGTTAGGATTGATCTCTCAAAGGCCGGCTTTTGTGGAAATAGTGGGGGAGGTGGAAAAAATTTAGGGGAGGTGCAGCGGTCTAGCTCACGACCCCCATCATGGGGCCGTAAGCTAGACCGCTGCACCTCATCTTACTGTAGAATGGGCCAGTGTCAACGATGTGACGTATATGCATGTAGTGTACATATGTATCAGTGTATTAATGAATTATGACTATGCAACTTATACAATTTTGCCCTTCATTACAATTGCTACAAAGTTTCTTTCAAAACATTCCATTAAAAGGGTACTTGACAGAGATGAATGGCTATCACTGTTACAATTTTACAAAGAAAAACGTTCTTACGAAGCAGGGTCTTAGCTAGAGGGCCGTGTTGGCCGTGTTATATCGCGGCCAAAAATGGAAAAACACGGCTAGATAAAATAAACGCGGCTTCATTATTTATATAAGGCCGTGTAGGTTCATAAAATAAGGTGTTACTGCTTACAACAGACAGAATTTCTTCCTATTTACGTCATAAGTTGAAATTGGCAAAACTGATCCGTGGTGTTTTAATGTTTTGATGGGTAATGGAACCTTATGGTGTTAAAATGTTTTTAAATACACCCCCAAGATTCTGGGCTCAAGAGTTGCTGAAATAACTTAATATTTTAATGTCAGTGCGCAATATGAGTGTATGCTCGCCTTGTATTTGGTTGCAAAGCATAGAACAATCACACGCATTGTCTGTTGTTGGCGAGCATAACTAAAACCGTGAATTTGGCTATTCAAGGTAATTGATATGTGCACACCCTGGTCATTTCGAAACACAGCCAAGATCTAAAATCCTAGCTAAGACCCTGTTACGAAGTGTAGACCCTAAGCAACCAAAAAATGTCAAATTTTTACTTTGATCTATCATTGAAACTTTCCCAAGGATGCACGACTTTTCAGGGGAGGTGCAAAAATTCTCATGGGAGATGTAAAACGATCTCAAGGAAGGCGCGCACCTCCCCTCACAATTCGGCCATGGATCTCTCGCGAATTTCCTTCTGTGTTAATATTTATTGTGTTAAATTTTGCAGTCACAATACGTTTGCAACTGGTGGATCAGATGGATATGTCAATGTTTGGGATGGTTTTAATAAGAAACGACTCTGTCAGGTATAAATTTACCTTTACACAACAAGGAAATGGCACAACCTAGGCTAAAAATCGGACAAATCAAACGTATAGGACTTACAAGTGTATTGGTTTTGCGTTGTTTTAGTTCCATCGTTATCCAACAAGCATCAGCTCATTGTCGTTCAGTCATGATGGTTCTGCTCTGGCTATCTCGTCTTCCTTTTTGCAAGAAGAAGATAACAAAGAGTAAGTTGAAGAAAATCGTGAAGAAAATTCAACGATGAGATGAGATCATTTGAAGCACAGACTGATTTCATGGGTGCAAGTGGTACGCCCCCCGAATATTTTGCACTCCCTCAGAACGTTTTTCCACCCCACTACTCACTAGAGAAATTTGCAGAGTTCTGTTGAACGTTAGATTATTTTAGGCTTCCCTACATTCAAGAATATGTACCACCTCCACATGATCTAATCATGCCCATCTTATTAGGAGTCCTGTTTAACATCAGATCACTTTAAGAATACCCTTCAGGGCTCAAAATAACGGGAGATAGGTCTCCGGTCAACTTGATTTTAGCTCGATCAAAATCTGTTTTTGACCGGTCATTGATACGCTTACACTAACAGTGAAACAAACTATTAGAAAATTGTTTCGATACGTTATAGTTTCATATTTTAATTCAAGACGTCAGCAAATCACATTGGAAGGCATGAAAATGTTGCCGGTCAAAATGACCGGTGAGGTTAAAAAGTGACCTGTCAAGAGGCATTTTTGGCCGGTCACTCCGTTATTTTGAGCCATGCCCTTAACCATGCGCAGGTAGAAGGTACCATACTAACCATAGGTCTACTCTGTTTCGTTCATTTCAGCCCACCTGAAAATGCAGTCTACATTCGCAGTGTAACAGATACGGAAACTAAACCGAAGTAAAGCAGGAATCTCATCTTGAATCCTATACACAACATGTCACTCTTGTCTATTTCCATTCGAATTCCGAGGGGGGAAATCACGGAATTTTCAAGACATCGTACTTGCAACACGTTTTGGGATAAACTTGTAATAGATTTCGAAGAATATCCATGGTTATATGTACTTATAGTTTTGTTACTGTATAATATTAATTATTTTTTAATATATATAGGCCCTATGTCTTCTTTAATGTGACGGTTTTGAAGATATTTCGGAGCAGGATAGAGAAATGAGAAGCCTCTTTGTTTGTATTTACCGTTTATTTCTAGATAAATAAATTTTATTTACGCTTCTGTATGTAATGTTCATTTATATGGAAATAAGATGAGGTCACAAGCTGGGTAAACTTTTTGACAGGACATTCCACAGGACAATAAAAACTTCATATTTTTGTATGCCAGATAAATGGCCAGATCGATTTCACCTATTTTGAACAGTGAGCTGTAGGACTTTACTGTTGCTGCCATCTTTGAAAATATTTCAATGTTGCATATTAAGGTTACAGGACACCCTTTTTAGCGTTTTGTGGAAAATCGCTACTGCGCGCTCAAAATCAGTCCGATTTTCATCAAATTTTCACCAAATGTTAGCCAGTGCATGCAAAATATGATAAAGTTGTAAAATTGACAAACAAAATAATGTAAGAATTATTCAGGAAAATATTAAGTCGCGGTACCTTTGCGCTCAGTTTGAGTTATGTTCCTGCTGGTTTTAAGATATATTTATGAAAATATCATTTTTATACAGTAAATAGTTGTTCTAAAAAATTGTGTTCGGAATTTTCTGTCTATTTCGTCATTCCGCTGATATGGCGATTTCTTTGACGACTGCTATATATTTCTGAATCGTTTGTGTGAATTGCTCATTATTAAAATATCCAAAATTAGAACAAAGCCGAACACAATTTTTGAAACTGACGTCTTAACTATGTCCTGTGAAAATTTGAGAAAAACTCGTTAAAACCCGCAGGAGCACAACTCGTTTAAAAATCAGTAATTGCCGTAAAATTCTTCGCGAGAAAATTGAATTTGAATATTATACATTTTCAATGTTTTTCATATTGCAAGCGAAAAAAATAACTCTGCGAGTTTTCAACATTTTTCGTCCAAACTTGGTCAGGTAGTAGAACTAGTCTAATGCTTTCATGGAAACCAATAAAAAAATTTTAGGCAAAATTAACACTCAAAGGTGTTCTGTAACCTTAAACAAGTTAAAATATCTCAAGAACGAAAAGTTGTGGAATGACTCATTTTACAGTTTAATTAACAGTAATTAACATTTATTTTACAGTTTAATTACAGTAATTAACGAGTTCTTTCTGCCCATATACTCTTTAAACAGTCGAATTTATATAGAGGATAAATGTGGATATTAGTGGAAAACAATGAACAGACAATGGAACATTCTGATCCCTGAATCGTAACTGGATGGCACTGTTCTTAGTCACTTTTGTTCTATTCTAGGTCACTCGTTAATGCCTAAAATTCTATATTTATGCCTAAAAACTTCGGATTAAAATGTATTTAGCAAAGTGATCTGTTTACTGCGTGTGGAAATTTATACAAATCTTGTTGTTACAAATCACCTTAGAATGTCTGAGCTATAATTATAACGATTTATCGCTGTTGCGCAAAATGTCAAAATAGTGATAATTTTAGCGCATATTACCAAGGAGCTTTTTACACATGGGGAAAGTATAGCGTTTCTTTTTTTTTATTAACTTAACAATCGCATGATTGATGGAAAGGACAACAGAACTATTTGTTCCCTATTAAGTCACCAAAAAAATTACACTAAACATATAACAATACATAAAATTACAATCACAATATATCATGAACTATGACTGTACATTCCTACATATTTACGAACAACAGTTTGTTTGCAACGAACGACACTTGCTACACAAAGTTGTCCACGTTCTAGGTCTATCTATATCGAAGACAGTGTTAAAAAATGGCCAATGAAAATGAAAATGAAAGAAAAGAAAATAATAAAAAAAATAATAAAATGCCAAAGTGTTTCAATGTCAAAGTGTGTCAATGGCCTTCGCATATTGAGTTAAAATAAGATCAGTTGCGAATATTTTAACATACTTGTAAAATGAATATATTCGTTTACTTTACTAGTATTCTCTACCCATGGGGATAATCTCACGCTTCATTAATAGCATGCTATTAAAACTTAAATTAGTATTCTCATTAAGGGAGTGGTCATTATTTATGGGGAGGGGGGGAGGGGGTTGGGAAATGGGAGGGGGGGGGGCAAACGAAGTTTTACCCTTATAAATAGGGGAATCAAAAAAGTTTTAACACAGAGAAAGGGGGGTCATAAAAGTTTTTGATTTCTATAATCACAAATAGCAAAAAAGAAGACTCTGAAAATGCTATTTCCAACGATCTAGAGACTCAAAATGTTCAAAATTTCCCTGCTCGGCGCCAACCATGGTGGCGCCGAGCGACCGTTGAGCTAGCCCACTAAGTTTAACAAGCTTTCTACCTCCTGAGTGACCCAGTTGTGGTATTTACATAAACATACCATGCAAGTACACTTAACTGATCAGATTCGGTCTATCAACGCACAATGTAACGCTGTATATCCAAAAATCTGTTTCAGAAAATGCTCAGAGGAAAATGCTCACATTTCAATTCTAGGGGTGGAAAAATAAAAAAAATTTTCTGAAGGAGAATAGACCCCCAGACCCCCCCTACTAGTACATAAGATACCACACCAAACTTTTTGTCACCAACAACCATCTGTCATCTCTTCACACTCAATATAGTATGGTCCCTTTTTGTAGATGCCCACCCCCCAGACAAGTTCTTAAAAAAAACCTGTGTTCAAATCATTTCGCTGTACTATTGTTCCCAGTAAACTGCGAAACGACTGTTTTTTAGGCGCTTTTGTCAGTGACACTTTTGTCAATTACCGAAGGCGGTCAGTATAATCTGCAGACTGCGGACTGCGGACTGCAGACCGGACTGGGTACAAAATGCAGACTGGGGGTATAAAATGCAGACTGAGGATAAAATGCAGACTGGGGGGTGAATTAGGGATATTTTACAATCAAAATGGACGAAGAAGACAGCGATGTAGAGGTATTGATATTATATGAATATTTACTTTCAAATATTAAACGCAATAATAAACATTATTAATTGTTGATACTTTTGAAATATTCAGCAACTTGCCGATGAAATTTTTATAAAATATTGCCATAAAATATATAACATTCTAAGACTATAAAGGCTATATATATATATTGATACTATTGATACTATAGCGCTGTTCCAACGTACAATAATGTGAAAAAAAGAAAAGAAAAAAAGAGATGAAAAAGTTTTTTCATCAAGTGAGAAAAATTTCCGGAGAAACTTTCCAAAATTGTTGTCGCTCCAATATTGTTTAGGTCCATTCTTTTAAGTATTTTATAAAGCGTATGCTATGTATGTGCTAAGAAGCTAGTTTTGTTGGCATGTGGAAAGCAAAAGTAGCGAAGGTAAAGAGATTAAAATTGGATTTAGTGAATTAGTGCGTATTTTTGAAAAAAATTTTACCACAAAATATGGTAGTCCCCCCCCCATAGAAATAATAGACATAATGTCTATTATTTCTATGTCCCCCCCCCCCCGTCGATGACACTTGTGACGTCAGGTACATACGGGACTTTGGAGGCGGGTTTTGGCGGGAAAATCTGTAATGTTTGGAGAAGACAAGATGGCGCTGGTTACCTCTTGTTATATCAAACGGCATTTTTGTTCACAAATACCCGCTTATTTTACGTTATAGCGACTGGTTCGTTTTGGAAATTATAACTCAATGGACGGGGAAAATGGTTCTGTATTAAAGAGAAAATGATGTGCAGTTATTGTGATGTTATTTGTTGTGAAAGACGGCCCGAAATTTCGCTACTTCGCAGTACTGGTTTATAAAACATTTACAAGCAACAGCAATTGAACTATATGACAAAGAAACCAATGTATACAAGCCAATCAAGTTCTTCAGTTTAAAGGTCTGTTTACTTTTTAATAATTAGTTCATTTAGTTGTACATTAATACGAAGTACTGGAACAGTACGCCTAGTCACAGAATGGGCCATTGCATTTTTTATCTGCACCCCCCCTATTGAGGACATGTGGAATTTCCAATGGCCCCCTGCAAAAGTGAACCAAAAATGAAGGAATTTCCATGGGAGGGTCCAAATTTTAAAGCAAATCTGCGGAAATTCCAAAGGGTAGGTAAGAAAAATGAGTAAAACGTATGGAATTTCCATGGGAGGGTCAACAATGGAAAAGAAATTCCAAAGGATAGGATCAAAATCAGCAAGGAATTTTCCAAGGGATAGCTACTAATCAAAGAATCAATATGGAATTTCCACTGGCTAGATAAAAAAACTGTCAAGGAATTTCCATGGGATGGGTTAAAAGTTCATAAAAAATTCGCGGAAATTCCATGGGGATGGCTAAAATTCAATAAAAATCTGCGGGAATTCCACAGGGGAGGCAAAAAATTCGCTTAAAAATGTGGAAATTCCAGGGGAGGGGGAACCAAAAAATGGATGTCCTCAATAGGGGGGGGTTTGGTTTAAAAATGCAATGGCCCATTGGTCAAAAAGTCTGGAGTACTTCAAAATGGCGGACTCTGATGAACTTAGATGGTGAGTCTAAAAGATAATATAATATATTCTACCACTTGAATGTCTTGAATCTGTTGACCCTTTGAGCCGTAGCATAAATTTGCGTATACTAAAGAAATGAAGAAACTGGAAACATTATACGCTCGGCTGATTAGCACCATGTTGCCTTGTTTCAAGTTGTAATTTTTGTCGTTCTGAACTATAGACTTCAATTCCATATATTCAGATGAATGTCCTAAGACCAACACTCCTAAAGCGAGAAAGTTACTGCCATTTGACGTCAAACACGACCTAACACCAGATTCTAAGAGTCCGGGATTACCAAGAACTAAATGCAGGAAAGTTGTTCAAGATTGAAACTTGTATTTTTAATAAGTCACTTCAAAAGTCCAATGTTTGAATGTGCAGGTGATGTTAGCACATTTGTTCCTGGAGATCTTCAGGGCTCTTTAAAGAATATATGCATCAAAACAGATGGGTTGAGACTTAAACAAGAGGATGTTGTTACTGCTGATCTTAGTGTAAAAAGCCACCTTCTTTCAAGAGCTTTGGCAGCCATATTTCCTAACTGTGAAAAGAAAAGGGTGTTGTGCGAACAAATATATTCTTTTTACATGTGTAAAGGCTGATGTGCATATGCAGTACATGATCAATCCAATTCATTACATTGTATTACAAATGACATAATATTTTTATATTTGTCTGGTATATTGTGTTTTGGTTAATCTTCCTCAGGATGCTACATAACAGAATAAGGTACACAGAAGGTCGACTTCTTGGGTTTTCCTATGATTTTGGCGTAACCCGTAATTCGTCATCAAATGCTGACGTCATGGTCCTAGCCAGTGCGCGTTTGAGAGGCATTCACTCCTCTGATATTATTCAAAATGGCGAACGTCCAGGGGGGAATGCACTGAGCTATATTATATTACTGGAGGACCTGCTCGGCATCAAAAAGTGTCGCCAAAAACATGGCGGATCTGACGCCATTGCCATGACTACTGGTCCCTAGATTCATGGCAACTACCACTGTCCCAACCGCGATCCTAAGGTTTTGACGATGTACTTCACCCCCCTGGTTTGAGCCTAAAAATTTTGTTTTCGAGGTAAAAATCTCACTGAAAATCTTGATATTTTTCTTCAATTTGCTTGATTTACAACGGATACTGCATTTTTGGGCCGCTCGTATGTACGAGAATTCTCCAAACAAGTACTAGAAGAATATTTTATTCATCGGTAAGATTTTTATATTTGAATGATCTTGAATATTAACTTCTAGATTCTAGCTTGCTTTTATATAAAACTCGATAGAAATACAAATCCCCATAGGAAAATGGTTGGGAATTCTGTAAATTTTATTGTTCTTTTGATTGACCACTAGCCTCTGTGTTTTCATATGATTTTAAAGGCTGCTTATAAGTTATGGTGTCAAAATCCTTACTGCATGCACTTATATTGATTTTAATAGTACTACCGACTGTCAGACTTTAGTATTTAGAGCAAATTTTCCCTGACAAACTCTGAGATATATCCTTGCCAGGTTCTTGTAGCAGTTATATTATTTCTAATTTAATATTGTGTAGTTATATTAAATGTCACTTCTACAACAGGCAAGTGAAAAATTGCTTTGCTAGGCCAAAGCATAGACAATCAAAGGAATTCCTTTGAATGGCTATGGCCAAAGATATCAAGTTCAAACCAATAACCATAAACCTCTGAATATATATGCCCCAATGACAGACCATGGACAGACCACAAATATACGCCCTCCCCCTGTGTTAGCCCATGGACTTATTTTTGGACAGGTATTTTTTAATGCAGCAAAGGGATTTCAACAGCTCAGCCCATCAAAAATGCTAAGGAATGAATACAAGCATTCAGAGGTTTACATGGTCAACATCTGCCCAACATAGTTTGTCAGAGTTTCACAAATCGCACAGCCATTAGAGTTGTAGTTAGGTATATTTGTAGGAATGAAGGGTATGTACGTGCCAGCCGATGCATATTCACTGCCCATGGCATTGACCAAAATTGTGCCCTGACAATTAATTAACCAATCAAATTGATGATTGATAACATGTTTGAGAGCATCATCAGTGGGGGTGTTCCCAGTATTGGAATAGAGCCCAACTGTTCAGTTAGACATTATTTATGAACTTTCTCTCTTAGATCTGCATACTGTAGGTTATTTTTGACATATTGTAATGTAAAATGAAACTTTGGGATAGTTAAGAAATACAATTAATCCATTTATAATGGACAATTGTCCCCTTGACAAGTAAAATTGCCTGCCATATTAGATGGGCTTATAAATGCCAGAACCTATATATGTGAAAAATTACTGGGCGAGTCAATTTGTTTGACATACTGTACCATATTAATTAACCATTACTGTAGGTTACATTGTGCCCTAATGCACCCTACTTTATTATTTACTCTGTCTAACACCAGACAATTTTACTTGTGAACTGGAGAGCCACTGGTGCTCAATGGTTAACATATCAATAATGTCTAACTGAACAGTTTGGGCTCTGCTCTACAGTAAATTTCCCTGAATCGGAGTCTGGGATCTGAATACATCTTCAGTATCTTCATATGGTACTGTCATTATTCTATATGTATAATGGACATTTCTCATTTAGGGCGAATCTGATGTAAGTCATGTGGACAAGGAATTAATAATACAAGTTATTTTGAATGTTCAAATAGCAAGAGTAGTGGTGTACGTACTAGGTCTTGCCAGACCTAACGTCTGGCAGAACTAACAATGACTTTTCTCTATAATTTTGTGGGAATGTGTTATATGTACTACAAACAGCCAAAAAATAACCCATGAGCTCTAGTTTTAATAGTACTGTATTACATGTAACTTGATTGTACAGTTAAGTTTTAAAATTATTCACTGCATGGTCAAAGAATAATAATTATCAAATTAGCAAGTTTAATTAAAATAATTAATATACAAAATCAAGCAAATTTTTTTGTCTTTAATTAATTTTGAAACATTAGAATACATGTTTCTTGGTATGGAGTTTCACTAACAACAGTGGCATGAACTCTAGCCTCCACCACAGGCATCTCACCCGAGGAATCGGGTGGTGGGAACCCATTTGCAGGGTAAAACCAGAGGTGTAACTTAACTCTTGCACGGGGCAAGTGAATATCATGATGGGCCAGTAAATGTTCTATCTTGCTTGCCCGATTGAGCAAGTCACCTTGTCACAAAAGGCTGGGCATCTTTAAGTTTATGTTTTCATTGTCGGATAATTTTTTTATAGTGCATGTACTTGATTCAAATTTTGTTTTAGGTGGGCCAAACTTTTAGATTTGAGGCAGTATAACATATAGCCATATAGAATGGGTCAACATGTTGTCCCCTAAATTTAACCTCCTACCTCGGTACCCCAGTGGCTAAGTTTTATTCAGGGCAAGTAATTTTCATGTCCAACTTGCCCCGAGGGCAAGTGGTCAAAAAAGTAAAGTTACACCACTAAAAACCCATAAAGAGGCCTGCGGAGGAGGCTAAGAATAGATTATAGCCATAGGGGCTATCAATATGGAAGCCAGACTGGCCTGGTTGGCAGAATAATTTCTTATTTCTTTGCCGACACAATTCTATTGTTTTGACAATATTTTCATGACCAATGTTGTTTTGACTTTATTTTCACCAAGTCAGTCCAGTTAGTGTTTATAGCCATAAAATATCTTCCCGGTGTAACTGAGAGCTTGCCTTGTTCTGATGAGATCTGAAAACTGAGCCAGTCAGGTTGTCCATACAATTTGAAAGGAATTTCCACTATAAAAATAACCACACAGTGAGTGAGACCTTGCTTACTGGCCTAGGGCTAGCTGTCACATTAGCCCCTACCTCAGGAACACCAGAAATATGCCAG